GTGGGGCATCCCTGGCCGCTCAGGCCTATGCTTCCCTCTCCGCTTGGCTGAGACCTGGCTGGTGACTGGCCTGGAGCTCCAGAGGTGGTAGAGGTGCATCTGGAAGGGAAGAGTGTCAGTCTGTGAGGCACCTGCCTCAGGTGTGTGGCTGTTGCTTGGTCTCCAGGTGTGGGAGCTGATTTTCAGCCAAGGCGAGTGTGGTGGGCTGCTGGGCATCTGGAGGAATTAGGGGTTCAAGATCCTCAGACGCGTCCTTCCAAACGTCCCTATCCCAGGCCTCGGGGCCCACCCCTCCCCTTTAAGGACCCTACTTTCAACGCAACCTATTTTCTTGGTTTCCCAGGGCTGCCAGGCCCCAGGCGTCCCTGGGCTTGTGGCTGCATCGCGCGTCTGCCTCTGTGTGTCTGTCGCTCCTCATCCCATCAGGACCCCAGTTACCAGATTTAGGTCTTTTTACCCCAATGCAGCGTGCCCTCAACTGGTACATCTGCAAAGCTGCTATTTCCAAATAAGGTCACATTCTGAGGTTCTGGCGGCCCTGACTTATTGGAGGACACCATTGATGTGGGGGGAGACACCAGTCAAAGCTAAATTTAGCATCCTTTTCAAGGGTGCTACCTTTATAACGAGAGCCTGAATTCTACACTCAAAGTGGGCAAACTGCGTGTAATGTGAATTATATCTGAATAAATCTTTAGCAGTGGGGAAAAGGATGGATGGGAGAGGGGGCAAAGGGCCTGCTCTCCGCTCCCTTCCTTCCCCCCATCCCCTACCCCGTACCCCAAGGTCATGGATGACAGCCACACTCCAGGGAAAGCAGAGCCACACGATGGAGGGGGCCTGGGACAGCCTCGTGCAGGTTAAGACTGCCGCAGGGGCCAGCCTGAGTCTGCACCTCATGGGGAATTTCTTCAATGTCCTAACTTAGGCAGAATTACAGATAGGACGACGCTGTATGGCTGAGATCCCAGAGGCCCCTGGAAAGTTCCATACAACACGTGTCCCAGTGCCCGAAACCTGTGGATGTTACCTTATCCAGCAAAAGGGACTGGGCAGATGTGATTAAGCTAAGGGTCTTAAGATGGGGAGATGGTCTTGGCATAGCCGGGTGGGCCCAGCGTCATCACAGGGGCCCCATGAGAGGGAGGCAGGAGGGTCAGGGTCAGAGAGACTGAAGGTGGAGGAGGGGCCTCGAGCCAAGGAACACTGGTGCCTCCAGAAGGTGGAAAAGGCAGGCAGGGAAGAGTCTCTCCGGAGCCTGCGGGAGGAGCCAGCTCTGCCCACCATTTTCAGACATCTGACCTCCAGACTGTGAAAGAATACAACTGTGTTGCTTTAAGCTCCTCAACTAGTGGGAACGTGCCACAGCAGCCACAGGAGACTGTCTCCAGGAGGCGGAGTCCGGGCCAGGAGGGCCTTGCTGGCGAGCAGAGCAGCACAGGGTTGGCAGAAGCGGATCTGAGAGGTCGAGTCACAGGCACTTGGGACAGGATCCCGCATCCTCCCCCACCCCTCCCTGCCTGTCCAGCAGGGCCAGGTACTGCCCGGAGGCAACCTGAGGACTTATTTACAGAGATGTGGGCTGACCCTGGGGAGAGCAGGTACCTGCCGGGCTCACAGGACCAGCGCTGTCACCACCCAGGTGTGAAGGAAGCCGGAAGTAGCATGAGGCTTGGTCAGTGACTGAAGCTGGTCCTCAGAACCGGGCAGGGAGGGGCCGGGAAAGGGAGCCCAATCCTGCGGGAAGCCCGCCTGAAGCCCCCTGCCCAGAGCATCCAAACCAGCCCTCCCACGGCAGAGAACAGAGCAGGAGAGGGCATCTGGCCATGGCGGGCAGGACAGTGCAGGTCCTTTTCCGAAAGAGGGATGTCAGGTCCTTCCCCGAGGGAATCGGCTGCCCTCCGTCCCCAGCAGTAACCACTGCTTGGCTGGCTGTTTAACACAGCTTTAGGTCCTAGTTCACAGAAGGGAGCTCCTCTGGAAAAAAGAAATCACACTTCAACACAATCACCATGAAAATATTTATTTGTGATAATTATAAGTCAGTTAAGACCGGTACAGACAGACACGGTCTCTACAGCACTGGAACGAGTTTTACGTTTAAAACACATCCACAAGCGCACAGGTGGGGCTGGTACAGCACGGGGCTAGTGAAACCACTGCCAGAAACACAGAGACACACACCCCCCCCCCCCCC